TCCTGTCTCCAATGGTAGCCACCAGCCACATGTAGCTATCTGAGTTCACATTAACTGCCAATAGTAAAATTTAAACTCTCGTCTGTCAATTTTATCAGCCACGTTTCAAGAGCTCAATAGCCCCACCTGTCTAGCGGCTACTGAACTGGACAGAGCAGAGATGGTTCCATCATCAAGACTCCCACGACGGTGCTGGCCCAGAGCCTTGCTACTCAAAGTGTGGTCCGAGGACCACAGCAGCATCAGCCGGGAGCCTGTCTGAAATACACTCGATTCTCACTTCAGATCTGCTGAATCAGAGTACACACCTTCAAGTCTGAAAAGCACAAGTCTGGACATTCTGTCTTCAAATTCCATGGTTTGGAATGTCACTGGAGCAATCCTTTAAAAACACAAATGTGATCCTTCTTCAGTGCAATGCTTCACTTTCTTCAGTTTCCTCCCTATTTTCAGTTCTTCAAAAACCTCATGGGGAGGCAGTGCAGCGTTCTAGGGTCTTTGGGAGTTTCCAGTCCAGCTTCCATCGTTTACTGGCTGCGTGATTTTAGACAAGGTGCCTCTCAAAGCGGTAGGTTCCTGTTTGTTAAATAGAGGTGGTAACTCATGGGGTGGGTGTGAAAACGAGAGGAGGTAATTCACACGCAGCTTTGAGCACAGTGCTGGCATGCACCGTGAGCGTGCCCGCGCACAGCTCTGGTGTTTCACGCTTCCTTTTCCTGCCTTGGGAGACGTCTTCTCAAGGTGACCTCCCACTGACCATTCTGCCATCAAACCTAATGAACTGAATGCTTCTGCATCGTTCAATCATCACCTACTAGACCAAGTGTTTCCCCAACATCTTCAGCCAGGAGTGTTTCCCTCCTCTCCTTGCTCACTCAGATCAAGTTGCTACAAAAGCATGTACTGTTAAAAGTGTACTTGCATCCATGTCTTTATCACTTGATGGAGAACGTCTAGAATAAAGAGCTAACCTGAATCTCTAACATCTAGCATATTGCCTAGAAAAATGTTGACCTAAAAATGGTTACTCAAAAACCACAGAAGGACCAGAGGAAAATTTAAGCAAATTTTAAAAGATAAAGAGTAAATAAGAATTTTGTAGGAATAACATGAATATTAGAAATTACAAAGAAAAGGGGGAGGGTTTAGCTTAATGATAAAGTGCCTGCTTAGCATGCGTGAGGTCCTGGGTTCAGTCCCCAGGACATTCAGAAAGAAAGAAAGAAAGAAAGAAAGAAACCAACCTTATTATCCCCACCTCCAAAAAAAAAGAAATTACAAAGGAAAAATTAATACATTTGATAACTTAAAAATTCCTGTATGGTATATGGCAAGACAAGTATAAACAAAGTTAACAATAAATTGGAATATATATATAAAAACATATGACAAATCATTCATATCCTTAATAAACACCTGCAAACTGAAAAAAAAAAGGACAAAAGTCCAACAGAAAAATGGGGGAAATGAGGCTAGCCACACTCATACACACAAAAAGACAAATGGCCAATAGGTATTTGAAAAGATATTCAAAACACTACTTGTAATACATGAAAACAAAAAGAAAATATTTTAACTTCAAAGACTGCCAACAATTAAAAATACTGATAGTATGTCGCACTGGTAGTTGTGTAAACTGAGGGTGATTTGGCCATGGTTTGCAAAACTTAAAACATGCCTACCCATTGGTACAGAAAATTTCTTTCAAAGAATTATTCTGATCAAAAATTTGATGGACTGAACACACACACACACACACACACACACACACACACACACACACTACATGTATTAAAAAACAGTCACGGCATTTTTGGGAACTGGTTAATTTAAAACAGCTGCTAAATGATACTTAGTGAATGATAAATGAGAAAGCCTGGTACAAAATGCATTAAAAAATACGGAACTCTAGGTTTACATATGCATGGAAAGACATCCGAAAGGGTAGGCACCAAAAAGTTAACAGCAGTTACCTATGCAAAAAGTTAACACCGACCTATGAAAATTAATTTTCTTTCTTTTTCAGCCTTTTTTTATTCTTTGGACCTTTTATGGGAACAGGAAAAACAACCAAACAGCAAAGGTTGTCCCCCTCCCTCCCTCCCTCTCTTACTATCCTGAGACAACTGTTTCTTAGAGAAGACATTTGTCAATGCTATACTCTCATAACTTCTCATGACCTTTCACTGGAAGGTAAGAAAGAAAATTCTAGGAGAGAAATAATTCCTCACGCCTTTTCTTTTACTTATTTCTTAAGGCTTTGACTTTATATTGACAGTGAATACGAGGGAAGAGGACCTCTAAGGGAATGGAAGAAAGAAAATTTAAGGATGGCTGCACTTTTGTTAAAGGTTGCGAGGTCAATCTGATGATGACATTGGCCTCCCCATTGATTTGGGGGTTTATCAGGCTGATCTGGCTGGACAGACCTCTCTCTCTGTTTCACATGCACACTCAACAGAAAAGGACAGCCTTCCCTGAGCGAGTGCCCTATTCCTTTTTTTCCCCCAAGGGTAAAGGCACTATTCTTCACTCTTGAAAAGATTCATCATGCTAACTGATGAAGAAATGAAATTCTTTACCCGATCTAAACTACAACAACAAAAATCACTGTGTTAGTGTGTGAGTTACTTAAGCACAGGAAGACCAGTGAAAATTCTATGTTTGTGCTTAATTAAGGCAAAAAAGATGAGCTCATTCTTTGATGATAAAAGTAATTTTTGCCAGGTAACACCTGGATTGTACCACCTTAATTTCTACCACAGTGACTAAATCATAACAAATGTTCAACGAGTATCTGTTGACCTGACCAGAGCACATGAGTATATTAACTATGTAATTTGTACGTTTCCGTGTGGGGAGAGAAAAAATCAAAGGGCGATGCTTATGCCAGTGGCACTACCAGGCACTGAAGTAGGATGATGACCACTAAGCAGAAAAAAAACAGGTAATTGGAAAAAAAGGAACATTTTGAGTTTTATTTAGGAGTCTGATATTCAATTCTATTCATTGATGGATCCTCGAAAAGAGTACAAATACTAGAGATCTCATCTCACATTAAAAGGCTACTTTTCTCACTAGTCCCACAAAGTAAATAGAGTTAAATGGTATCAGAGCCGATATTCAAAGTATTTAACAACGGGTTGGACACGGGCACTGATGAGCAGAAAGGACGTCCGACAACACGTCGACAACACAGACGCTGAATTCCGACCCTGCAGAGCACTCACCTGTCTGGCATGTACTATTGTAAAAAAAAAAAAAATCCCCTACAAATCCATATGCTCCATTTATTACATCTCACTTGTGACTGGTGCATCTCAGAAACCACTTAAAGTTCTTCCACAGCACACCGCTGACAGATACAAGTAATGCACACAGTTAACCAGAAGAGAGTCTCTCAGTGGCTGGATATTTCCTAGCTGAGTGCCAGGAATCTGTCTGCGAATACCGACTTCTGTGGTGGTGACGCCCCTCGTTTGCCTCGCGTGTTCAGAAACAGCGCAGCGCGGTATCATGAGCGTGTGATCTCCGCCAAGCGACAACCCTTTCCGTGCCTGGTCTGACCACTTTCACGAGGAGGGCGTTGCCTGAGGCTGAAAGATGACAGAGAGGCTTCCCCTCGCTTTCGTCTCTGACGGGCGGTGGCTGAAGAGGCGCGGGGCCGCGCGCGGTGACGAGGGTAACGAGGCCGCGGGCAGGTGCCGCGGGAGAGAGCGCCCGGGTCCACCAGCCGGGTCTGCCGCGGTCAGAGGATGGGAAGCCGGGGGACGGAGCAAGCCACGGAGCTGCCGTCCCGACTCAATGATCCCCCAGGTTCTTTCACGCTCTAACACTCTACTTTCCTCTTAAATGACGTGACCCCAACTGGTTAGTATTTCACTTTCCCAAGTACATAATTTATAACTAAGTAGTACTGTATCTAATGATAGAAACCGGTTGGCTGCAAAAGCGGCAAGCTCTCCCACCCACGGCTCCGCAGTGCCCTTATCCAGTTACAGAGTTTCCCGGGGCATCACAGATCACTTCGTGAACGGGAGGACGCATCGCTGCCCACTGTTCTTGTTGGCCAAACACACAGCCTGTGATTTATGTCAGTGTACAAACACCGCTCACACGCTGACGCAGTAGGTCCTTCCCTACGCTTCCTAGCAGATCAAAACCTGATGGGGTCTTTTCTGACATTTGAGATAAGCCATTTCCCAATAGTCTGAATGCTCCTCTATGTTCTGAAACAGCGAAAGAAAAGGCATATTCACAACTCCTATTAGCAGCTTCCATCGCTGGGGTGACCATTCAACAAAAAACGTGATCAATACTACATCCGAAAAGCTGGAAAATCCACGTAAGAGGAACGAGTACCTAATCCAGTCGTGGTTTTACGGATGCACGGTCCTCTGGAAAGCATCCCTGAGCGCCAGGCCACAGCCCTGAGTGATGGGGCTTACATTTAGACAGCTGAGTTGGCTGAAAGACGGGCAGTATCACAAGAAGCAGAGAACTTCCTACTGATTGTGCACTGAGGGAGATTCCTGCCCAGCGCTCGCTCCTGCAAGCGCAGTTATCCCTGCTGAGACGTGGGCATGAAATGTCACACAACTGCCCACATCTTACCAGGGACAAGTCCAACACATGTAAGCTCTAGCGTGCGTCCAAGACAGACCTCATTCCTCGTGCAAATTCAGCTTCCCCATCTATCTCCACATGGTGAGAAATGACTTAAAACACTCTGCGATTTAGAATATATTGGCGGGGGGAGGGTACAGCTCAAGCGGTAGAGCGCATGCTTAGCATGCACGAGGCCCTGGGTTCAATCCCCAGCACCTCCTCCAGATATAAATTAAAAAAATAAACGCAATTACCTCCCCTTCATAAAACAAGAGGAAAAAAATAGACTATATTTGTAGCAACCTCTCCCCCCATGACATACAGCCTCACGAGACACTTCTTGACCAAATACACAGATAAAAGCAACTGTAACGATAATGATGCGTCCTTACCTATGAAGTAGGACAGGAGTACTGCCAGGAGCACCGAGACCCCTACGGCGCACAGGGCGGTGCACTTCCAGCTGCAGTACTTGGAAGACTTCTTGAACTTGAAAGCGCTTCTTGACAGGGTGTTTCTAGGCAGCGGCCGAGTAGGCGGCGAATAAACAGAACCAGACGCCATTGTGTATCCTGGGGTCGCAGTGCTGAACAGTGGCGTGGTCCCCGTTCCTGTTTTGAATAGGAAATGCCTGCAGAACAGGAGGACACGCTGTCAGACGTGACGACGTGAAAGAGGGCGGGCAGAGCCGGCCAGGCCCGAGCGCTCCCCTCCTGCCTCTCTCTGGCTTGTGAACACTTACCGCATATAATTCAAACAATGAGCAATGAAGAACATACCGTAACCAAGAGCCCCAACCCGCAGAGCTGCCTGCGGGATGAGAGAGACTGGCTTCTACCGAGTCTAGGAGTTCCGCACACAAGCGATCACCATCCCTTCAAGGGAGGATTGCGAGAGACTGCAGAGACGTTCTAACCACAAAAGCATCTTGGAGCTTCCCTTTAGCAACTGCTGAAGAACGTCTCCCCACACGTGGCTTAAGGAAAGTACTTGCTAACTTCCTAGCTGCACGTGTGCTTGCTAGCATGAGAAGACGCACTCCTAGGAACGCAAGCTTGCACGACCGCGTGCACACCCATTTCTTTTCTGGGTGTGCCTAGGAAACGTTCTTACCCAATCTGCCTTCCCCCGTAACAAGTATGGCCAGGCTTGGCCACAGGCCGCTGGTCAGTTCGCAAGGGAGGCAAACTAATTTTATTTTGAGTGGATGTCAAACATAACCAGGAGGGTAGATCTGCTGAGGGGAGA